GTAAAATATAATTTTCTTCACTCTTTACAAATTTTATTGATGAAAAACTCCTAAAGAAAAAGGAAGCTGCAAATATCCACCAAAATTCATTGAGAAACCGTTATGTGGAATATGAATAGAATAAGAGAATAATTATCAAACTTGAACATCACTCAAAAGTATGGTTGGTCCAACACCCTAAACAGGTTAATATGGAGTCTATAATCCCCTATTTAACCACCTAATTGACCAAACGCTCACAACATATATAAATCTTCCATTTTCATTACCATTTTTAATCATCTGTATATCCAAACAAGAAGAAACAAAAAAAATCTGACACATGGCGTACTCTTTTGTGAAAAATTCAAACCTCGTTTTGTTGACTATATTATTGTTGGTTTTAGCTAATACACTAGCACTTGCAAAGCATGCAGGGATTACCAGACACTACAAATTTAATGTACGTATTATATGGTTGATCACTTTCCATTAGTGCATTATAGATTCATGATGATTTTCTTTTCTAATTTTCTTTTAAAATGTTAGATTCAAATGCAAAATATGACGAGATTATGTCAAACAAAGAGCATTGTAACAGTGAATGGCCAGTTTCCAGGGCCTAGAATTATTGCAAGAGAAGGAGACAGACTTGTTATCAAGGTTGTTAACCATGTTCAGTACAATATCACCATTCATTGGTACGGACAACCTTTCCTGTTGCGAGCTATATATTTTGTTCGTACAGATTATTATATTTTAACAGAAGTTTAAGTTATATACATTGACGGTGTAAAGAATTTTTACAACCGACTATAGCATGTGATTACTTTATATTCTGTGCTATCATATCAGACTTACTATGAAGATTTAACTATTGTAGGTAAACTTAATTAAGCTTATAGTGTAAAAAAAATTATATATTGTACATGCAAATAACTTAATCTCCTTAACAAACATAGTAATCAAAATATAAAATACTCCACCTTGCCTATGGTTCAGCTATGTTGGTCGGACTCTTCAAGAAGTGCGTGTTAAATGCTCCAAAAGCAATGCATTATATTTTTGGATGATCCGACACGAATACGACAGCATAGAGAGTCCGAACAACATAGTGGCTCACAGGCTCAGTACGTCTAGTCTAATAATATATGCTTATTATGTTACTCCAGGCATGGAGTGAGACAACTAAGAAGTGGATGGGCAGATGGACCTGCATATATTACACAATGCCCAATTCAGACAGGGCAGAGTTATGTATACAATTTCACAATAACTGGTCAAAGAGGAACTTTGTTTTGGCATGCTCACATCTTCTGGCTGAGAGTTACACTCTATGGACCCATTGTTATTCTTCCAAAGAAAGATGTTGCTTACCCTTTTCCACAACCCTTCAAGGAAATCCCCATTCTTTTTGGTAATATTCAAACTTAATTATTAATCAGTTATATCACTACTCATTTTATTATTCTATTGTCATACAGTATAAGGGGAGCCTTGGAGCAACAGTTAAGTTGTCTCCGTGTGACCTATAGGTCACAGGTTCAAGCCATGAAATTAGCCACTATTGCTTGCACCAGGGTAGGCTGCCTACATGACACCCTCTTGGGGTGCGGCCCTTCCCCGGACCCAGTGGGAACGCGACATGCCCTTTTTATTGTCATACAGTAACTTTTAACCAAAATTACTTATATGTATTTGCATGGATTGTAGGTGAATGGTGGAAGGCAGATACAGAAACAATTATTAGTAAAGCCCTTCAAACAGGAGGAGCGCCAAATATTTCTGATGCTTATACCATTAATGGTCTTCCTGGACTTTTCTACAATTGCTCTGCTAAAGGTACAATAGAGTAGTAACCCGGTAGCCGAACTTTATTTACTCACTATAATAGTAAAATCATAAAAGTATTTTTTTGTCAGTAACTATAACAGTAAAGTCATAAAACTATTTTTGTCACATTAAAATAACTGAACTTTCATATGTTTTGCAGGTACATTCAAATTGAAGGTGAAACCAGGGAAGACATATTTACTGAGATTAGTCAATGCTGCACTGAATGATGAACTTTTCTTCAGTATAGCTAACCACAACCTTACTGTTGTAGAAGTTGATGCTGTTTATATAAAACCATTCAAGACCAACACAATTCTTATAACACCAGGACAAACCACAAATGTCCTCTTGAAAACCAAACATATTCATCCTAATGCCACCTTCCTCATGGCGGCTCGGCCTTACGCCACTGGTCCTGCTGCCTTTGACAATTCCACCACCACTGGAATCTTAGAATATCATGAACCATCTAATAACACCAAGAAGAGCAACAAATTTCCTCTGCTAAAACCCAAACTCCCCATATTCAATGACACAACTTTTGCTACAAGTTTTGTCAAGAAAATAAGAAGTTTAGCCAATGCAAAATTCCCGGCCAATGTTCCTAAGAAAGTTGATAAACATTTCTTCTTCACTGTAGGATTAGGATTGAGTCCTTGCCCTAAGAACCAAACATGTCAAGGTCCAAATAACACTAAATTAGCAGCTTCTGTTAACAATATATCTTTTGTTCAGCCAAATGTAGCACTTCTTCAATCTCACTTTTTTAACCAATCCAAAGGTGTTTATACCACAGATTTTCCAATCAATCCACCTTTTAAATTCAATTACACAGGAAATCCACCAAACAATATTTTTGTTACCTCAGGCACAAAAGTTGTGGTGCTACCTTTTAATACAAGTGTGGAATTAGTTATGCAAGATACAAGTATCATTAGTGCTGAAAGTCACCCTCTTCACCTCCATGGTTTCAATTTCTTTGTTGTTGGCCAAGGTTTTGGAAATTATAATTCTAGTAAGGACCCTGCGAATTTCAACCTTGTCGACCCTGCTGAAAGGAACACTGTTGGTGTACCATCCGGTGGCTGGGTCGTCGTTCGCTTCCTTGCTGACAACCCAGGTATTGAATTAGAGTTTAAGTTATATACACCGCTAGTACAATTTAACTGGTTATGATAGGTTAATAATCTATCGTTTAGGTTACCATATATGAATGCCTGATACAGAGAGTTACATGTTATTATAAGTCAATTTAACCTGATAGCTAGTGTAATAATTGGTTACATGTCAGTGCACAAAGCATAATCAACTCATTAAATTAAATTACAATTTGAATTTAAATGTTGAAATGTCTATTTTTAGTTGTAATTATTTTGACATGATATTTATGAATGTTGTATATGAATTTTTAGGAGTATGGTTCATGCATTGTCATCTTGAAGTTCATACAAGTTGGGGCTTAAAAATGGCATGGATGGTTATGGATGGAAAAGGTCCCAAGCAGAAGTTACCTCCTCCACCAGCTGATCTTCCTAAATGTTGATGATATTTCATATGTTAATACTCTAAAAGCACCATCTTCTCTTTTCTGCTAAGGCAGAACATGTTTCTTGTTTTTCTTCCCTTTTGTTATTGTTTAGAGTATCCTTCATTCTTTGAAATTTTTTGGTTGAACACACTAGGCTTGTAATACAATTAGTTTCTTGTTAAGGAGCTTTAGGTGCAAGTTTTGTCAAATTGAAAAGAAAAACATTAATTCAGAGAAACATCTTAGTATAATGATTTTTGTTCCTTGTTATTGCTTATCTTCTTGTTTGGTCTTGCATGATTATCACTCAACAAGTATTAAGTACATGCAAATATAAACAATACACAAAACCATAAGAAAATTTAATGTCACAGAAGCATTTTGGGAACTCCCTGAGGATAAATATCAGAATGAGAGTAGGTGCACAAACTAAAATATGCATGAATTATTAATTTAGAATCCAGTATTAAAAATCTCGAACCCACAAACTTCAAATCCTATCTTCACCTCTGAGTCCAGGTATTATTTTCGTTAAGAGCTTTTAGATGTGGAGATAAAAAGAGTCTACAGAACCCAGCAGAGATGGTTCCGTATAATGTGATTGGATTATGAACTTAGAACAACCAAGTCTAACCTGCTATCTTCTAAAACAGAATATCTTCAAAAATATGCAGTTCGTCCAAGATATTGGAATTCTCAGTGTAAAACGATCAAAGCTCTTTGTGATCGGTACTCACCTCTTAAACATTTATACAATGTAAACCAATTAAAATTCAATATAATTTGCAACGATATTGAACTTCCAGCAGTAAGAAGTAAAAACCTGCAGCCAAGGATGTTGAGAACAATCGTTGGAACTTGAAAGAGAAACGATGTTGACATAAATACTTCATTGCATCTATGAACATCCGGCCAATGCTCTTCACTACTAGGAGTGGCAAACGAGCGGGTCGGGTCGGATATGGTTCGGGTAAAACAGATAAATTATCCGACCCGACCCATATTTAATACGGATAAAAAACCGGTTAACCCATATTATTCATGACTTCTTGCATATGATCACTTTTGGGAGAATTCTTAGTCTCCCTCACTTGAGGAACCCCTAATTTGAGGCTTTACAAATGTAAAAGTTAGACCCGTTGGTTATCCATTAGTTACCCATTGGTTATCCATTTTCTAAATGGATAATATGGTTCTTATCCATATTTGACCGTTTTTAAAAAGTTAATTATCTAACCCATTTTTAGTGGATAATATGAGTAGTTAAGTATTTTCTTTTAACCATTTTGCCACCCCTATTACCTTATTAAATTGGTCCGTTGTTCATACATCTTTGCTTGTAAAATTGCTAATTTATCCTTTCTTCATGGATGTCTTTTTGTTGGGTCCAAACACACTAATAAGAATTTTACACGTTAGTAATCTTTTTTGTTTTGTTTCTCACCCAGTTTCGGTACCTGCATTAGGGCCCGGCTAAATCCGGATTTGTGCCGCAATTCTCACATTAATGCACTTCCTAACAAAGGCAACTCCATACTCAGGGTTGGAACCCGAGATCTTGTTGGTCACGTTAGTTATTCATGTTTCTGTGTAAATGTGTACACTTCCATAGTTTGAAGAAATGAAATCATTTAATATGAAGGATTTGAAGTGAACTTTTAAGAGAAGTGGCGAAAGTCTTGATGGGGAATAAATTTGTCAAATAAGTGAAGAACATTGTTGACAGTTCTCACTGTTTCAAGGTAACAGAAAAGAATAACACATTAACTTAATTAGCCGGAACGAAAAAGGAGATAAAAACACTCAAGAAATTGCAAGCGAGCCGTTGAACCTCTGCTCTTGTTCAACATTTTGGAAGATCTGAAGGTGGAGGAGGTAACTTTTGACTCGGTAATAGCCCATCTAACACGATCCAAGCCATCCTCAGTCCCCAGCTTGTGTGCACATCAAAATGGCAATGCATGAACCATACTCCTGTTTCATACTTGCACATTAGGATTTAAAGAAAATTGTTTAGTATTTGTTAATTAGGATAAAGTTCTTACCAGGGTTATCTGCGAAGAATCTAAAAGCAATCCATCCACCAGCCGGGACACCAACCGTGTTCCTCTCTACAGGATCATTGAGATTGAAGTTGGCAGGGTCTTTGTTAGGATCAAAGTTGCCAAACCCTTCACCAACGACGAAGAAATTGTAACCGTGGAGGTGAAGGGGGTGATTTTCAGCGCCAAGAATGTTAGTGTCCTGTAGCACAACCTCGACACTCGAATTAAATGGCAAGACAACAGTCTTTGTTGCAGTGGTTACTAAAGTGTTGTTTGGTGGAGTTCCTGTATAGTTGAATGGATTTAGAGGGTTGGTTGGAAAATCTGTGGTGTAAACACCGTTTGATTGTCCAAAGAAATGAGATTGCAGAAGTGCTGTTGTTGGAAGAGCAAAAGATACATTATTTACTGATGCTGCAAATTTTGTGCCATTAGGTCCTTGACATGTCGTGTTTTTAGGGCATGGGCTCGAACCTAGTCCTACTGTAAACAGAAAACGTTTGTCAACAGTTTGTGGAACGTTTGCTGGGAATCGAGCACTGGCTAAGCTGCGGAATTTCTTGGTGAAATTAGCAACAAAACCTGTTGCAGTTATATTTGGTAGAGTTGGTTTAAAGAGCTTGATTTTATCGCTGCTGGTCGGAGAACCATTTAAGGGGGGTTTATATTCTAGGATACCGGCAACAGTGGAGTTGTCAAACGTTCCTTGGCCGGTGAAATATGGCTGAGCCGCCATTAGGAAGGTGGCGTTTGGGTGAAACGGCTTTGTTCTAAGAAGAACATTGGTGGTTTGGCCAGGGGTAATAAAAACTACATTTGTGTCAAATGGTTTGGTGTAAACAGCGTCTGCTTCAACAATGGTGAGGGTATGATTGGCAATGCTGAAGAACATTTCATCATTCAGTGCAGCGTTGATCAGACGTAGCATATAAGTCTTTCCTGGTTTCACTTTCAGCTTGAATGTATCTGAAATCAAGAAAATTAGAGGGAATTACATGAAACATTAAATAAACTTGGGATCTTTACGCAAATAGCCGGCCGAATTCACTGTTTGCTTTTTCTAACCAGGGTACATAGATTACTCATGGATTATACACGGTTATATACATATTATACATGGATTACACATATATTATTTATCTGCTGACTATTTTTAATTTAAGCGATTGAATGTGCCGCTGTTTAGGTTAATTCTTCCATAAAAACTTTTTTTGAAATTGACATTGGTACTGTCCTAATTAACTTGTCTCAAGAGTTTAAACCTCAATCACTTGCATGTATACAATGTATTAACATTATGATGGGATGGCTCAGTTAATTAATTTGAGATTAACCTTAAGTGCTGAGAAAGTAATGTGAGTTGTGTAATAATGCACTCCTAAATACAAATGGCTATAATGATAATTCTTCATAATGAAAACATTGTGTTTGTCATTATAGGCTATAGCCATTGATTATACCTTTAGAGGAACAATTATACAAGGGCCCTGGGAAACCATTAATGGTATATGCATCTGAAACATTTGGACCACCTCCTATCTGAAGAGCCTGGTTAATTACAGCCTCAGGATCTGCATTCCACCATTCCCCTGAAAAACAACAGAGCATTAATACTTTATAAACTAATGTAAAAATTTTGACTATGAAAAGGAATTAACAAAGTGGCTCTGACAAGAGGGGTTGCTCTGATGGTAAGCAACCTCCACTTCCAACCAAGAGGTTGTGAGTTCGAGTCTTCCCAAGAGCAAGGTGGGAAGTTCTTGGAAGGAAGGATGCCGAGTGTGTATTTGGAAACAGCCTCTTTACCCCAGGGTAGGGGTAAGGTCTGCGTACACACTACTCTCCCCAGACCCCACTAAGTGAGATTATACTGGGTTATTGTTGTTGTTCTGGTTTATGATACTTACCAAATATGATTGGAATTTCCTTGTAAGGTTTCTTAAATGGATAGGACTCATTTTTTCTTGGCAGAATGATAATAGGTCCATAAACTGTTGCTCTGAGCCATGAAATATGAGCATGCCAGAACAGAGTTCCTCTCTGACCGATGATCGTGAAGTTATACGTGTATCTCTGGTTAGTTTGTATCGGACATTGTGTTACATATGCTGGTCCATCTGCCCATCCGCTTGTAAGTTGCCGAATTCCATGCCTGCATAGCAAGAAACAGTACATTCAGCAATTTTTCTTAATGCAGGTAACTGTTTGAATTAACTTCTCTTTTTGATAACTGTATTGTCCGGACCAGCTTGCGCACCACCTCGACTAATTTCACTAGGCACCTGCTATCTCCGACCAGCACAGGTACCGGGTAACTATGCCTACCAAGGTTTGGGCAGATAGAAAGGAATCACTTGGTGTTTTCGATATTGTTTGTTTCATGGTTTCTAAGTTCTTACCAATGAATAGAGATATTGTTGGATACATGGTTAACCACCTTAACGATCACTCGATCACCTTCTCTTGCAACAAGACGAGGGCCAGGAAAATGTCCATTCACGCTAACTATGCTCTTCGTGGTGCATAATCGCGTTACATTATGCTGCACAATCTATAAGAACAAACATGAAACAAAAATGTATTTAGCTTCAATGACATTAGAGACAATCAGAAGAAGTAAAGGTAAATTAAGTCATATGACCACTTTTTTCGTTGGAAGTTTTGCATACATTGAATGTATAGTGCCTTGTCGTGCAAAATGCAGACTGAGGCAATAGCCAAAAAATGAAAATTCCAAAGAGCAAAGATGCTGCCACCGAAGTGGAACAAGAAAGATAACTGTAGCCCATGTCTGGGTTTTTTTTTATGTAGTATATTAATTACCATATCTAAGGGGACTATATATAGGGACATGATTAGGTAATAGTACCATTGGAATTAATAGAATAAGAGAATTCAAGTGGTTTGAATGAAAGAAAGGTTTCATTTTCGTTTTGCTGTTGGTCGACCTTAATTTTAGAGTGTTAATAAAGTAAGAAAATTCTCATCTAAATGTTCAATCTTATCTTTATTAATAAGGAGAATCGATCCTAATATCAACTTTTCTTAATCAGCATTTACGGTTAGTTTAATCATGCTTAAAAGTAAAATTATAGATAAACAAATGTCCCTGTTGTTGTAGTTAAAATGTTCAATCTTTTCTAACCCCTCTTGTTTTGTTTTACTATTGTTCTGTGGTTGGACTGTTATGATCCTTATAAAGAGGAATGAGCCAGTTAAACTAAGTTGTTATGTTGTTTGTATTAATTATTCTCCTAGGATAATCTACGTATAATTAGCGTGAATAAAAAATCTTGACGTGATTATTTTCTAAATCAACGACCGCATCATGCTTGGAAAAAAGATTGATATTCTTGAACATCACTCTGTTGATTCCGTTTTATATTTCTTTAATACATACTAGAAGTCAAAACTTAATATGAATTCCTTTATTAACTCAGTCAACCATAATTGGTTTTGCTTTATTTTATTTTTGTTATTATTTACCAATTGAGAATCAAGTCATAAACTATGGAAGAATTAACCTAAAGAGCCGCTCATCTAATTGATTAAACCAAAAATAGAAGAGGGATGTATAACATATGTATAATTCATGTATAATATGTGTATAATCGTGTATAACCTATGTATACGAACTAGACAAAGTAAACAGTGAGATTATAGGTGGAGTATGCATATATAGCCAAATCATTTAATATCCTAAAAGTAATTTCTATTAACCATGCATCTATGTTAATTAAAGTTGAACGTCAGTCTAAAGCAATTATATAGTGTTAGTCGATGAGATTATCATCTCCAACCTCTTCTCCTAACGCGTTAACCATCAAGGTTTTCAGACTTTGGGTTTCGATCTTTCCTGAGTTTTAACTTTGCTCTAACTATTTATAATTTTTTTTACACGGAAAAGGGGCTAATATACTTCTCTACTTTAATAAATAGTACATTTCTCTCCCCCATTATACTATCATGCCATTTAAAAGCCTATCGTTAGGAAAGTGAGAAAAACTATCCTTATTTTTAACCCCCGTCCAACAAAGCAATTAAAATGCCACCTGGAAAGCCACGTTGGACAGATCCGACCCAAGCCCTTTTAATATGACCCGTCAGATGCCCTCTTCTTCCCAATACCACCATAGGCGTAAATTCTAGGGTTCATATCAGAGTGAAAATTTCTGCTCATCTACTCTCCTTTCCTCGAATGTGAAATGTCTCAAGGAAGCTCATCTACTCTCGTCTCTCCTCAGATTAAGTGTCATTGTGGTATGATAGCTAGCCACTTAACTTCGAAAACTATTTCTAATCCTGGAAGGAAGTTTTATAAATGCTCTAAGCCTAAGGTTTGTTGATTTTGTTGTAAAGTTTGGTTTTTCTTTTTTGCATATGTTTTAAGCTTTTCAATTGTATAATGTATAAGTGTTTTAGTCTAAATGTAATCTAATGTTATTGACAAGATTATTCATGTCGGTTTTTCTTGTGGGACGATGAAGTTTTCCCAGTTAATCATATGAATGCAATTAGAGAATTGGGGTCGTCAGTGGATGTTGTTAAGTTGGACATAGAGAAATTGAAGCAAGAAGTAGCTGCCATGGAGACTAAAAACCATTCTCAAGTGGTTAAAGTTTCAACATTGGAAGAGAAAGTATCAAAGATGTGGATCATTCTATTGATTTTATCGGCACTGTCTTTGGGGTTCGTTGCTGCTTCAATGAAGAAATGAATGGCTTAGGAGATGTGTTCATTGTAATGTTAGCTCTAGTTGGGAGTTAACTTGTAGGTGTCTAACTTGTGGGTGTCTAATGTTAGGTTGCATTGCTACTTAGCTGCTTTGTATTGTTAACGTTTTCAACTAACAATAATGTATATCCCTTATGTTTTACTGGTTGTTTTTGTTGTTTAAGTATACAGCTTTCTTGTATCATAATTCCCTTTATCACAAATACAACATAACTTCAATATAGTTCCCTTTGTAATGTATATTCCTTTGTGACAAACACAACATAATTCAACAATATAATGAAATACATAGTTGGACAGTCAGCATAACTTCATTAAAATTCAGCATTCACTTCATTCTGCAACATAAACATAACAGTTACATAACTTCATTCATAGACAACATAATTCAACACCATTCTGTTGAAAGGATCCAAAAGGGATGTCACTTTATAACCCCAAAAACTGATACAACCCAAGTAATAAAATGACATCCACATTGAAAAGTTTAAGTTAAAGGACCTAACAGTTAAGTTAAAAAGCACTGTCACATGCAGTAATTACATCATATAAGACACCAAAAACTATCACATGTTCAGAACTTGACTAGTTTTGTGAATTGCCATTTCCCTTTCTTGACTTCAACTTGGCTAGTCGTTGCCTCTCTAGTTAGTTTCCTGTTATGGCAGCTTTTCCTCTCCATCTAAGTTTTTTGGGTGAGTAAGGAAGTTGTGTTGGCAAACTCACACCACTGGCATCACCAACAAAGTTAATAGTCCTTGTTCCAGTTGTTGTGGCTAGTTGCTCCCTCCTTTGGATTCTAGTCTTTGCCTCTCACACACGCCTTGGCAATATAGGTGGGTCTGGATTGTCTGCTTCTGGATAGTCAAAATCTGCTTCTGCATTACTGATGGATTGCTTCCTAGACATGGATGGTGTTGGCATAAACATGTAATGAGGTCCAGAATTGCTGCTGGCTTGACTGACTTGTGGTGCTGTTAGTTGCAGCTCTTCTTCTAAGGATAGCCCTTCAACTGCTGGAGATCTGTCCATGGTGTCCTCATCATTTTCATCAACCAATGTCCTCAACCTCTTTTTTGTTTTCTTACCAGCTGTGGCTGCTTTCCCTTGCTTTGCTGTCAAAGATATAAAGTAACAAAATTAGGACTGTATGTTAATTTAGTGAAGTAATATAGTAAGGGTGTCAGGTTACCTTTTGACATCCCTTAGCATTATGCCCAGGCTTTCCACATGTGGAACAAGTCATCACCCTTCCTTTTCTGGATTGAGACCACTCCCCTTGCCTATTTATTGTCTCATTCTTTTCTCTAGTCCTGTTCACTTTAGGCCTACCAGCCATATTCACTAGCAGGGATGGCTCCATTACATGAGCTGGCTCTATATTCCAGAACTTCTCTCCTCTAATTGGTTCTAACTTATGTGCATAAGTGGAGAGATAAACCTCCTTGGTGAACCACCAATGAATCTCAGACAAAGGGTTCACTTTTTCGTATAGTAATGCTCTAATAGCATGAGGACATGGGATCCCAGTGAGGTCCCATGTTCTGCAAGTGCATTTTTTCAGGTTGATGTTCACTCTATGCTTTTTCAAAAGTTCCTTCATTCACCTCATAACCATCTTTTCCATTAGAATCAACAGTACATTTTTTTGCACTATTCAAGAATTGATAATATAACTGCATGGTATGAGGACTTACATTTTCAGTCCAAGTCATCACTTCACCTTCATGCTTTCTCAACATAGTCATCACCTTAACTCTTATGTCTTCAAGCATTCTGATAATTGGCTTGTGCCTAGCATCCAGTATCCATGAGTTGAAGATTTCTGTTATGTTATTGTCCACTTGTTGGTTCTTGCATACTGTGTCAAAGTATGCTCTACAACATGATTGTGGAGGATACCTCAACAAGTCTTCAACAGCTTTTTCATCAATTTCTCCCAAGTTTTTCAATTAATCCTTGAAGTCTTCTTCATAGCTACTCCATGCACACCACCACAGGTACTTTTTCTTCAAATCCCCAGCACCCCATATTACACCAGTTAGCCTCTGTGTGCCTCACACAATATCTGTGGTGTGCATCAGGAACTACTGCCTGAATTGCCTCAATCAAGCGCTACATATATAAGATGCAGAAAATTAAACATTTAAAAATAAAAAGGAAACAGTCAATAATTTTAAAAGAATAACATTGAAGTGAAATAGAATAAGTACCTTCTGCATGTCTGACATGAATGTGTATCCTTCCCCTAGCTTGAGTTCTAATGAATTGTTCAACAATGTCAAGAACCAGGTCCAGGTGACCTTTGTTTCTTTATCCACAACAGCCCAAGATATAGGATAAAAATGATTCATTGAATCAAGAGCAACAACAACTAAAAGCTGACCTTTGGCCTTTCCTTTCAAGAAAGTTCCATCCAAGCCAATAAAGGATCTCAACCCACTTTTAAACCCCATTTTTAGAGCATGAAAACAAATATACATCCTAGAAAATCTTCTTTTTCCTCCAGCAAGTGCATCCTTTGACAAGGTAACTATTACATCACTCCCTGGATTACTCAGCCTCAATTCATTAGCATATGCCTCTATCTTATTATACTCATCAGTAAAACTACCAGCAAGGGATTCAAGTATCATTCTCTTGGCCCTCTTACACTTTGCATGGCTAACATTGATGTTGAAAGTATTTTTTAAGGTCATTTGCATCTCCTTAACTTTGATCATAGGATTCTCCTGCAGCTTGTTCTTAAAATATTCTGCTATAGTATTTTTGTCTATCCTAGGGTTGTCATATGCAGGGTTACACTTGTGTTTTGACTTAAGAGTTTTGATCTTAACCCCACCACCATTCTTATCCTCAGAAATTAGACAGAAAAAGGGGCAGCCAACGTCACACTTGTACCTCAGTCTTCTGCTATCACTCTTGAGTTGTTTTAAACCATAACAGTTTGCTAAGCAATACAAATTTATCACTTTTCTAGCCTCAGGTATATCTTTGAATGTCATTCCTTTATATAGGTCTTTGTATTCAATCAACTTATCAGAAATCTCCCTCTTTTTTCATAATGCAATTACTTCTAAATCATCAGAGTCATAATCTGAAAAAACAGTCTCATCTTCACTCTCATTTGAACTACAATCAGTTGCAACCTCACAATCTACTGTTTGTGATTCATTATAGTCGACAATATTTGGAACACTAACTCCCATTTCACTATCCTCTACAACAAATACATTAATTATATTAAAATGGTCAGAAACCATATTTTGTAAAGTCCTAATACCATCATCCCATGTTACTTCATAAAATCTACCAGAAGGACCACAAACTATCAGTTGGACACCAACATACCCTATAGTAGATGAGGTATATTCATTTACTACTATGAAAGACAGAAGGTCAGAATCATACTGTTTCCAAGTGTGCACCAACTTTCTTGTATATACTATTTTTGGAATTATTCTCCAGTCACCTCCATAATTGAATAACATGTCTACATTAACCATCTTAACCTACAACATAAATAAGAGAAAAGGGTTAATAAAATTGAATATAATATAGTACAAAGCAATAAAGGGCAGAATTTATAATAAACCTTAATAGAATTTAATATAATATAATAGTACAAACTTTAATGTCAAACATTGAACATAATAAAGGGCATTCCCATATGAATCAGACAAAATAGTATAAGGCAATAAAGGACAGGCACATGAGTCTCGATATTATTAAACAAATCTTATGGTGGACCACAAATTCTAAAGAAACGGCAAAAATTTACAACATTCAATAAAGGAACAACAGAAAAATGTCCCACTTGGGGACCATATACAATCATCTTTGCCAGAAACAAAAAACCCCTTTTCCCCAAAAAGAGATACAATGCAGTCCCACATGCAAACCCTACACTACATATGACTATACAAAAAACAAACTGCCATACAAAATCCACATAATAGAGACTCACTAAATCCGAAAAAACACACATGCAAACACTAAACTATAAAGGTTAACAGAAACCCTAAATCACCTTCAGTAAAAGAAGAATAACATCGGGAAAACAAAGAAAATAGGAGAAATAGGAGAAATGACAACAACCAAGTTTAATAGAATCAAGAAAAAAAACTATACCTTTGAAGGATTTTACAGAAAATCTGGAAGAGAATTGATACATATAGGAGGAACCCTAAATCTCTTCACCGTCGTTCTCTCAGCTAAACGGATAAAATGACTCTTTTCTTTAGTAAAAATGGGTAAATAAGTATTTATATCATGGGTGAAACGGGTTACGGGTCATATTAAAAGGGCTTGGGTCGGATCTGTCCAACGTGACTTTCCAGGTGGCATTTTAATTGCTTTGTTGGACGGGTGTTAAAAAATAAGGGTAATTTTTTCCACTTTCCTGACGGTAGGCTTTTAAATGGCCTGATAGTATAACGGGGGAGAAAAATGTACTATTTATTAAATTAGAGGGGTATATTAGCCCCCTTTCCCTTTTTTCCACTATCAAGTTATGACGATCTTCAAGAACATGTCACTCAACATAATAAACCTAATTTGGTAATATAGAAATAAAGTAAATGACATAAGTGGCGAATCCAAAATTATATATAAAGGGATACAAAAAAGTCATATCCGGAATTTAAACTTGTGACCTGAAGCAATTCTTGAATCTCCTTTGCCACTTTACTAGAATTTTCCCTCATGTTAAGGTGATTCAGCTAGTTTTTATTTATCTTAAACAATATAATTTTTCGCCGAGGAGGATTCAGTTGGACTGTTTTCTCCAAGTTACCTCTGTCCTAAGTTATAACAAAATGCAACAATAAGTGTTTTGGACTGTCACAGTTATATAAATAACATTCTTCTTTTCTTTTGCAAGACTTGATAAGCAATTGTAAAATGCGACACTCATCTGTAACAATTTACCGTGTCTATTTTTAAACTTGGCGTAATACATCGTTCCTCCTTGATGACGTTAGCATTATATTTGAAGTGAATGAAATTGATATTATTTAACAGAATATCTAATTTTCTATTAAAGGGCCAAAATATTATGGATTTCGGGTTTAATTTTGAATTAATGAGACAAATGTAAAACGTCTGTTGATCAATACTAATCTTCAATAATGATGATAGGGAAAGGAGAGTAAAATGTATTTGCTCCAAAGGCAAGACTAGAATTCAGACAGCTACAATTATAATTAACTGGCTAATTTTGAATCTTGATTATAGTGTCTGAAAGCGAATTCTAATTCTAATTAAAAGAAAGAAACTTCTTATCAACTAAAGAAAATGCTTATAAATTCTTTTTGTTCTTGAGTGAATATAAGTCTCGAATGGAGACTGTTTATCTCACCATATCTAGCACGGAACTTTTTGTTCTAGAAATAGGGAACTTAGAGTAGTTGCAGAAATGACCCGTTTTACCATATTTTAGAGGAGTAGTTGTTTTACTTAATTTCTAATTTTGGAACTTAATCCAGTGGAATGTGGTCATATTGGACCATATTCCCAACTTATCTTTCTTTGCAATCTAGGTTTTTACCATATTTTCTTCACCGCATTAAGTAGCAATATTTTACTTTCATTGTACCGTGATTCCCTGTCAAGAAACATTTTTTAAAACTGTATCAATCCCTTCACGTTCCCGTAGTTCCATTTCACTTCTTTATCTCCGGCATATTAAGTTCACAAATTTTGATATTATTACTTGTTTGTTTTTTCTCCGTAAGTGGTATGTTGGAGTGGGCAGAGGCGTATCTAGGATTTAAGTTTCATGGATTCAGCATGTAAAGTTGTACTGAACCGTTGTATTTTTATAATAACTAGTCTCTCGGCACGTACGTTGCACGTGTATATCGAGTCAAGTAGTATACAATTTTATAAAATAATATCAATATTATTGAAACGATTTTAGTAAATAATTATATATGAATTAATGAAGTACAAGTTTATATGAATCATTGTCACGACCCAATTTAGGATCGTGACCGGCGCTTAGGAGCAAGTGCTCCCAAGTAAACCTCATCGGTAATTTTACAGAAAATCGGGCAGAGTTTTCCCTATTTTTGGACCATCCCAAAAATTTCCTGTCTCAAATCAGCAACCAAACAACCTAATAGCAATTCAACTGACAATTGACAACTTACCAATTAGCCAAAATAAGTCTCCACCATTACTAATCAACACACTAACAACCAGAAATACTAATCTACCTCGAACTTTCGTAATAAAGGACGATACTCAACATAAGACTATAATAACAAAAGAATACTCACGACACTAAAATAATGACTATGGAGCGACTCTAAAAATTTAAAGAAAGACCATAACAATTGATAAAAATCTCCGCCCACGCGAATAAGTGCGAGGCTCACCAAGAGTTCTCAACCTGTGACCTCTAATTAACAAAATCCTCGCCTGCGTCAACTGCTGTCTCTGTAAAAAAAAATTAGCGGGGAATGAGTCGCTAGCTCAGTGAGTAATAACACTAAACCACAACCGTTTTTAATTTGGGGACAAGTCAGAAACATGCTAGTATTTCAAAGAGAAGATACATAAAAATGCCCTTTCAGAAACAATAAATAATTTTCAGTCTCTTCACGCTTTTCTTGTAGTAAATATAATTAACAATTCAGTAATAAGCTCGGTAACCACTGTATAATATCAGTATTCACATTTTTGGGAGGTTTCAATGAACGGATCATGTAATCGGTATAACTGTGGACTTCTTCGCAAGAAGTCAAATATAACGGTAGTCCCTACTCGAGGGAAATCGGTAACGGTATGCTAGTTCTACCTTCCCACTAGCGAGGGCTATAACGGTAATCAGTAACTACAAGGTGCACCAGGTCTAACGAACCCGCCGTTAGCTACGGGATCCTTCAATGTCTACTCCCATTTATACTTGTCTCTGTAATCCGTATATACTCATAGAAACTATTTTAAAATAATATAGGGCATTTCGGTTCTTATCAAATCATATAATTTCCTTTTGATAACAGTAAATTCTAGTAACGGTCAAACAGATCTAGTGACAACGAAAATATTTAAAACCACGGTATTCATCTCAAATAACTATTTCGGTATCATATCGAGTAAAAGACTTGTCCCACATGCAACCCAAAATAATCGGTAACATATTCATATAAAAAAAATTATGTGTAAATCATGCAAGTTATGAAAACACAAATTGCGGTAAGGTTACTACTCACCTCTCAAAGCCAACTAACCAAAGCTCGACTTCTTATTGATCCAATTGCTCAATTCGTGTGCAATCTATAAATCATATAAGTTTAGTGTTACTATCAATATAATTGATTCCAGATCTTGTCAAATCTAATCCATTTTTCTGTTTTCACTCCTTAGAATATGATCATCTATTCTTTCTTAATTAATTTAATGGAACTTAACTGGAAGGGAATTTGGTTCTTGCTTATGTGTATGTCAATATATATAGATGGCTTATATAGATACTTGGGAACTCAATACCTTTGCAATATTTCAGCACTGCTTTGCAAACCCTCAGAGACACATGACTAATAGATTCATTACTTCTCAATTTAGAATAATGACAATCTAATCTCATTACAATTCACTCGAAACCCAATATAACCAAGTTATCAATATCACTGTTTAGCCATGATAATCTTTATATACCTATGTTAATGGATGAAAAAAATACCTTAAAACTTGAATTAAACTCCGCTGATAGTGGCTCTCTTGCGGCACCAGATCGCCGGACACTGTAAAGACCTTCTTGATTTCCTCTTTATAGATGTGAACTTGCTACCAACAACTTTGTTGTTCCTTCGATTTTTTTTTTGTTGTTGTTTGCAGGAGCTTTAATGCCCCAACTCTCCTACTCTTATTCCTTTTTCTTTGAGATTGCAAGGAATTGGAATTTTACCCATTCTCAGACTCTATACGATGTCCTATATCAATTGGTTCTTGGGCTTCGGCCCCACCTTTTTTTTTAAATTAGTTATTACTATTATTATCTAATGACCAATACACCCTTACTAAAAATATAGGGTATTACATCCTCCCTACCTTATGAAATTCGGTCCCCGAATTTAATTTAAGTACATACCTGTAGACTGAAACAAATGGGGATACTTCGCTTGCATATCTTTTGCTAGTTCCCAAGTAGCTTCTTCGACTGTATGATTTCTCCATAAGACTTTCACGAACACGGTTTCTTTTGACCGTAGCTTTCTTACTTGCCTATCAACAATTGTCGTCGGCTCCTCCTCGTAAGACAACTTCTCATCAAGCGGTATAGTCGGTGCTTCAATCACCTGAGATGAGTCTGATATACATTTTCTTAGCATTGAGACGTGAAACACCGGATGAATAAAGGACAACTCAGGAGGAAGTGCCAAACGATAAGCCACCGTTCCCACTCGGTCTAATATCTCATACGGTCCTATAAATCGGGGGCTCAACTTGCCTCTTTTCCCAAACCGCATTACACCTTTCATAGGGGAGACTCGTAGGAACACTTTGTCTCCAATTGTGAACACTAATTCTCTTCTTCTCTTATCAGCATAAGACTTTTGTCTGCTTTGAGCTGCAAGCAATCTCTGTTTGATCAACTGGACCTTGTCCATAGCTTCTTGTACTAGGTCGGGTCCCAATAAGTTAGTCTCACCAGCTTCAAACCATCCGATAGGAGAACGACATCTTCTACCATACAATGCTTCGTACGGTGCCATTTGAATACTGGACTGGAAGCTATTGTTGTAAGCAAATTCAGCTAATGGTAGATAAGTGTCCCAACTACCTCCGAACTCAAGAATGCAAGCTCTCAACATATCCTCCAAGATCTGAATAGTACATTCAGACTGCCCGTCTGTCTGTGGATGAAATGCAGTACTAAGATCTACTCGTGTACCCAATGCTTCTTGAAAAGATTTCCAAAAGCGTGAAGTGAACTGTGATCCTCTATCAGAGATGATGAATACTGGAACTCCGTGAAGTCGGACAATTTCATTCATAAATATCTGTGCGTACCTGACTCCACCATATGTAGTCTTCACCGGCAAAAAGTGTGTTGATTTCGTCAGTCGATCTACAATCACCCATACTGAGTCATAACCTCTAAAGGTTCGTGGTAGCCCGGTGACAAAATCCATAGTAATTCTTTCCCATTTCCACTCTGGAATCTCAATTTGTTGTAGTAGTCCTGCGGGTCGCTGATGCTAAGCCTTGACCTGCTGACAAGTCAAACAACTAGAAACAAAGTTAGCAACATCTTTCTTCATACCTTCCCACCAATAAAATTGCTTCAGGTCATGGTACATTTTTGTGGATCCAGGATGTATAGTGTATTTAGAGTTGTGGGCTTCTTCAAGAATAGCATGTCTCAACCCATCTACGTCTGCTACACATAGCCTGTCACCCATTCGAAGAACACCATCACTTTCAACAATCATATCCTTGCTTTTACCAGCTAAGACCTCATCTCTGTATTTACATAATCGTTCATCCTCATATTGGGTGGCCTTAATGCGCTCAACTAATGAAGACTTAGCCTGAGCACAAGCCAACAATGCCTCTGAATTTCCGACACTCTCCGATACCTGTATCTTCTAGTCGCTGGATATCTTTGGCCAAAGGTCTCTTTGCAGGGGCTATATGTGCCAAACTCCCCATAGATTTTCTGCTCAATGCATCAGCCACCACATTGGCTTTTCCAGGATGATACAAGATAGAACAATCATAGTCTTTGAGTAGTTCCATCCAACGACGCTGCCGAAGATTCAGATCTCTCTGCTGAAAGATATACTTCAAACTTTTATGGTCAGTATAAATCTCACAAGTTTCGCCGTATAGATAATGTCTCCAAATTTTTAGAGCAAATACCACTGCAGCCATCTCGAAATCATGTGTAGGATAGTTTTGCTCGTGCTTTTTCAATTGTCTCGAAGAATAAGCAATAACACGACCATTTTGCATGAGAAAACATCCTAATCCCACCCTCGAGGCATCACAGAATACTGTAAATCCTCCAGAACCTGATGGTAAGGCTAATATTGGTGCAGTTGTCAGACACGTTTTGAGCTTCTGAAAGCTTTGCTCACATTCCTCCGTCCACTGAAACTTTGCATTTTTCTGCGTTAGCTTGGTCAGCGGCGCTGCTATTCTGGAGAAATCCTGCACAAAACGCCTGTAATAGCCTGCTAAGCCTAAAAAGCTGCGAATCTCTGTAGGAGAAGTAGGTCTGGTCCATTTCTGCACAGCTTCAGTCTTCTTAGAATCTACCATAATTCCATCTTTGGATACAACATGCCCCAAAAATGCTACCGAGTCTAGCCAGAATTCACACTTCGAGAACTTAGCATAAAGCCGATGTTCTCGCAATGTCTGCAACACAGTCCTGAGATGATCCTCGTGTTCTCCTTGGCTGCGAGAATATATCAGGATATCATCAATAAATACTATTACAAATCTATCCAGAAACGGCTTGAACACCCTATTCATTAAATCCATGAATGCCGCTGGAGCATTAGTCAGTCCGAAAGGCATCACGAGAAACTCATAGTGCTTGTATCGAGTTCTGAAAGCAGTCTTAGAAATATCTTCATCTTTGATTCTAAGTTGATGATAACCAGAACGGAGATCAATCTTTGAAAAGTGGGCAGCTCCTTGTAACTGATCAAATATGTCATCTATACGGGGCAAAGGATATTTATTGCGTATTGTTATCTTGTTCAACTGCCTGTAGTCAATGCCCATTCTCAGGGATCCGTCTTTCTTCCTTACGAACAGTACTGGTGCACCCATGGTGATACGCTAGGTCTAATAAAACCCTTATCTAACAAATCTTGTAACTGTTGCTTTAGCTCCCTCAACTCTTGTCACGACCCAAATTCCCATACCCGGTCGTGATGGCGCCTCTCGTGAAGACAAGGCCAGCCAACTTACCCAAATCATTTCTTTAACAGTTACTAAACATAAGTGAATAGAATAATACAACTTAACGGCCATAATAATCAGTATTTTCAACCCCACATAACCCGACCGGGGTGTCACAAGTCACGAGCATCTAAGAAGTAGGAACACAACTACAGGGTCATATATATATAAAGAAAAATCCTAGAAATCAAAAGACAACATCCGGTGCCGCGAACGCTGGCGGTCACCTTGCTCGGCTACATTAGTATTACCTTCAGTCCGCTAATCACCCGCTACCGGGTGAACAATACCTGCAACTGCACGCGAGGTGCAGGGAGTAAAGTGAGTACTTCCAACTCAGTGAGTAATAAGAGTAAATAATAACTGAGAGGCAAGAAATCACGTAAGAGCAATCCATCATGCTATATAGGACAGTACCACTCTTTGAGAAAACAGTAAAACCGTGAAAATCCTTTAGAAAATATCTGGCTCAGTTTAAAACCTCTTTTGAAAACATCCTTTTCCAACAGTCAAGCAAATGAACGCGTAATCAGATAGTGCAAGTCCGCACATAAGACAGCCCCTCGGGCACAACACTCCACAAACAGTTAACACCAGGGCGTCTGGTAAACAGTACAAGCAATAGCATGGATGCCAATGATATGAGAGTGCTAAATGTCATGACACGTAGTACAAACAGGAACCAATGCATGAATGCAATGCAATGCATATGACCGCTGCGGCGCGCAGCCCGATCCATTTGGGTACCCGCGCTCACTGTGGGGGTTCAGACTCCGGAGGGGCTCCTACAGCCCAAGCGCAATATCCATATCACACCGCTGCGGCGCGCAGCCCGATCCATCCTCAGTCCAGAAATGCACATAAGCCCCTTGGGCAATAGTAAAATAACAGTCTCAACTCAAAACGTCAGTAAAATATCATTTAGGTTTTCAAATCTTAGAAAGATAGCTGAGTTTGCGAAACAGTATTTTAAACCTTGGACTGTGATAAAATAATATGCAAAGTAATGCAAAAACAGTGATATCAATCCCTGAAGGATTCAAACAATTGGCACGAAGCGCAAATATAGCAATCAAACCAAATAATGATGATAACAAGTAGTTTCGGTCAATTACGCAATAAAACCAACAACCGGGACGGACTAAGTCACAATCCCCAACGGTGCTCTACCCCACGCTCATACCTGGCGTGCAAGTCACCACAATACAACACTATGATGTGCAAATTCGGGGTTTCAAACCCTCAGGATATCATTTACAAGTATTACTCACCTCAGACCGGTGAAATCCCTAGCTCGCGACGCCTTTGCCCCTCAATCGGCCTCCACGCGCGTCGAATCTAACCAAAACCAGAGCGAATACATCACAATATGCTAAGGGAACAATACCCAATCGAAAACAATCCAAAATTAGCAAGAATCTCGAAACTAGCAAAACCCAAGCCCCGGGCCCGCTTCTCGAAAAATCACGAAATTCACATCACCGGATTCCTCGTCTCGCCACGAGTCCATACATATAAAACTTTACCAAAATCGGAGTTCGTTGACCTCCAAATTCCATTTTTACATCATAATTTTCTCAANTCCTGCTCTTCTATTTTCACTAAAACCGCCACTGAAATCCCCTCCTGTCTTGGCCTTCTTACGTAATTCACTAGTTGCACGCTCTTCATGTCCCTTGTTTTCAATCTTTCTAGCAAGGTCGACTACATCAGAGTAGGATAAAGTCTTCATCTGTGGGGCTACTGCAGTGTATAGACAACCAACCAATCCATCAACAAACCTCTGAATTCGAGCTTCTTCGGTAGGCACTAAGTGAGGAGCATATATAGCCAATTTACATAACTTAGTGTTATATGTTGACACATCCATATCTGGAGTCTGAACCAATCTCTCAAAGTCTCTAGCATGTTGTTGCATCAGACTGTCTAGAAGAAAATGATTCTTGAACAACTTAGTGAACTCGTCCCATGTCAGTGGTGGTGCTCCTGCCGGCCTTCCTAGCAATACGGTTTCATACCATGTGTTGGCCATATCCTCTAGTTTGTATGCTGCGAGCTCCACGGCTCTCTCACTAGAACATCCAAGAGCACGTAATGCCTTAAGTGTCCCATCCAAGAAGCTTTGAGGATCTGCTGAATTATCGGAACCTGTGAATTTTGGTGATTTCAATTTCAGGAACTCGTGTAGAGATACTTCCTTATTTCCGAAAGGCTGAGTCTGTGTAGGTGCTTGTGTCTGTAAAGTAGCCTGAGGAGCTGAACTTCCTCCCTGAGTAGGCACCAATGCCTCTAACACATTCAATAACCTTGCCACTGCATCTGCAGGTAAGGCAACGGTAGGTACAACGGTTGGCACTGGTGGTGGAGCGTTCTGAACTCCCTGCTGTTGCACTTTATCTGGCATAACAGCTTGAGGTTGACCTATGTTCCCAACTTGAGGTTGAGGAGCAGTATGTCTTCTAGTTTGATGAACCCCAACTTGACCGCCACCCTGGGTAGTACCACGTCCAGTACCACGTCCAGCAGATGAGGGTGTGCGTGTCCTAGCCATCTGCGAAAGAAATATTCTAAAGTCAATCTCAAGTTATCTCAACGCACGATAAAAGAATGAAAGAAGGGAAAACATTCCTAAATGTTCAGTAGCCTCGAGATCATAAGTATGGGCGCCTACATACCCATGAACAAGACTCTA